AAATCTAAATTCACGAAATATGTAAAATGTATATCAATTGGTAACGAGAAGGATAATGAAAAGAAACAATTAAAAAAGGAAAATATATAAGTGTAAATAAAGACGACTGTTGAGAAATATAATTTTATATTAAATTTAAAAATGCAAAACAAGACTTAAAAACTTTAATAGCTTAATAAAAACAATAAAAAGTTAAAACCCTTTTTTAATAAACAAAATTCGTAAAGTTATTGTGAACATCTATAGATACAACCAATACAACCGTTATGACACACACGAAATAATGTACGTAGCGTAGCTGTAAACAGATACAAAAGCGCAGTGCAAACTACACATGGTATTTCAGGTATGTTAGGACAGCCAAAAAGGCAAACTAGGAATTAACGGATTAAGAATGGTTGACCTAGCTTAGGGGCCGTCCTGACAATACTACTAAGTTTATGGCGGTTGGCCGGATTAGCTTACCGGCTGTCCCCGATTAAATAACACTAATCCCATAAATTTAACGCACTTTGTAATTTCTTAGGAGACCAAACTCTGCTAAGGTCAAAGTTCTCTTCAATCAGAGACGGTATATTTAAAATACCGACCGTATCCTGCATGTAGTGCAATCTTGATATAATACGAAAGCCATTTCTAATAAATATTGTGTTCCTTCTATAGTGCATTGCTTATGCCCTTTTCTGTACCTTTGATTATCATTTCTCCGCAAGGAATTTTTAATAAGATAGGCATAACTTCTGGGCCGGCTAATAGGTTTGGTTGTCGTAACAAAAAAGTGCAGAGATTGAAACAAATAATCGTGTTCGAGGTAAAGTGAAACGATCCATGAGTCACCACGTCGCTATGTTGGTTTTTATCCTCATCGAGTGGGTCCATCATTGTAATTTCGTCACTTGTAAACCAATATTTCTAGCAACTGACATAAAATAAATTATTGAGAAACACCAAAGTTCATTTCTAACTTCAAAAATATAATTACCCATAAAGGTGATTTTTATACGTTCGTATCCCGATATTTTCTTTTCTTATTTCAATAAACCCAATAAATTTTATAAAAAATTATAACACGTTTTAACAAAACGCTAATTATAATGGTAAACATAACTTCGTGGTAATTTTACACCTATCATCGGAAAATAACTGAAAAGGGAAATACCCTTCGTTTTGCTAAAGAAAGAATCTTTTATATAAAAGTGAACGCGAATGAAAGTATCATTGATTTTTCTTGCTGCGGGCAGACTCATGAGCATGATCCTATATTTAGCCTGGAGGCGGTGAAAAGAAACAACACCACACAAAGTTGTTTCTTTTAATATAGACCAAGTTAGAGCAGATAGACAGCAGTACATTGATCCCGTTATGTACAGCTACCTCCTCCTATAAGAGAAAACAGCTGTAAATTGAAAATAAAATAAATTCCAAACAAAATTGCTTACTTGCAAACAGCTGAACCAAAACAAAAAATTGGAAATTTGTGAAAGATAATTGCTTTTCCTTTTTCTTAATAAATCAAAGCTTGTAATCAATTGTATATCGTCAATCTCTCCTTACATCGTCATACACTGTTGCTATCATTGATAAAACATAAAGGACCAATAAATCGTAAAATAACATCATTCTACTGAATATGTTGATTTTACAGCTAACAAGACTAATCCATTTTACTAAACAAAACCAAAAAAAGGTAAATAAAATGTTATTATATAATCAAGTAATGTTGAGAAGTATATACACATCAGGCAGAATGGTTGTTCTCTTCATATTATGTTATTTGGCAATAGAGGAACATCGCGATTGGTGGCAATGGAATCTTATAAAACGTAGATGGGCTCTGCGGGACCCTTGAAATCTCCTTAAGTTATTCACCACAACAATTCTTTATTATTGAACTTGCAAGCACAAATATATACAAAAAAACGTAATTATTACTTATTTGTTTATTTGCTGTAATTATTTTTTTTTTTCTGACAACATGCATATGATTCCGAAACAGAAAAAAAAAACAATGAAGTAGAAATGAAATAAGGAATCATATAATTGCTTAGTGGCTATAAACTAAGAGGACATCAACAAATGAACAAATGAGTTGGTCTAATGTAATAGACACTGTAGTATATAAAAAAATAAATAAATAAATAGAAAATTAAAAAAAAAAGGAGAGATGTTTTTTTTTTGTCAAGGAAAAAGGGAAGGAATTGTTTGTTTGTTTTTCTTTTAAGAAAGAACGAAAAAAAATTTTTTCTGGGAACGGAATTTGAGCTTTTTTTCTGGTGAAAAAATTGGAAATCCCTTTGAACAAGATTTTAAGGAAGAAAAAAATGGAAACTGTGGAATGCGAGAACTTACACTACACTAACCATACAATGCCTTAATAAAAGTAAATGCATTCACGAAAACTAAAGAACGAACCCAATTAGAAATATATTGACCGCGAATTTCTCATAAAGCAGAACCTAACATGATTTTTTGAAGTTTGCAAGATAAGCTACCAAAATTATCCTCTCGTCTCGTCTCGTCTCGTAATCACGTTAAAATTCCGCAAACGATAGATTCCAATCTGGCAACCTGAACGGGATCGGATGTGTTTGTTAAAAGCGCAGGAGATGTGTTACAAATCTTGCAAATGTTTATATAAACAAGAATAACTTGGCTTTCACTACTGCGTGCGATTTTTGGTATGATTGTTCGACTGTTGTTCTATTGTTTTCGATACTTCATTGCATTCATTGTGGTTTTAGTACAGGGCACTGCGATTTTGCGTAGCCTGGATTCTTGGTTGAAAATTTGCAATAGTGGAGATTGTGAACGTATGCAACAAATGCAAACGTTCTATTCGTGGTTGACATACGAGATACACGATTGCAAGATCGATACTGACTGCTTGTCGGACACGTCCGTAGTTGTACATTTTGATCAGTTCCCCTTCAGAGGAATATCAGATGAGATGTGGGTTGTCATCTTGAATGTTGATATCAACTGCCTCTTGGAGCTGGTATATGACACTGATTACAACAGGAAATAGTCGACGTAAACTCTGTAACGTAAAATCTTATCAGAGGGAATCGAAGCGTAGACTTCAGACAGCACAACAATGGGTTGCAAAAATGTTGAAGGAGTCAAAAGATAAAGATAAAGACTAATATGATAACACAGCACATTATTAATATAAATGTAGATTTGGTTTTGATGGAAAAATGATTCGAAACTTAAATTAGAAAACTTATTAAGGAACCTCACTCTGAAATCAATTCTTCCTGTAATTGTACTTTTCTGTTGGGGGAATATGAAAAAGTCAAAGTATACAAATATAGACTAAAGTGCTTCAATTGTTAATATATACCGAATATACTTCATTGTTTCACAATTTTATACTTTGTTATTACTTTTTATTCATATTATTTCCTTTTAATATAATATAACTGTATATCATATGAACTAGAGATCGGGTATAGAGTTAAATTGAATTAAAGACAACACTAAATGTAATCAAACAATATTATTCTGTTTTTGTAAAGAAAACTTTATATTGTAAAACTCTCCGTAAACGATTATGTATGGATTTTAATGCATGAGGTTATGCGAAAAAGAGAAAAATAACTTTTTATTCATTGTGAATAAAAAACATCACGTTTCTATTGAATTTTATATTAAATAAACAATACATTTCTTCCTATAAATTTTCCAACAAAATATTTCTTACGACTCTTAATAACAAATTTTTTAATTGCAATTTTAGTACTTATACGATTGTAAAGAACATATATATAAACGATCGATGCACTGGCGATGGATCCTTCTTTTCGGATAAGGAAGGTGTAGTGTATTTCACTAGCGTGCGTTATCATTCTGCAAGCAGTGCAATACAGCACATGTACACTAAATTTATATCAACGTGCACCAAGCCTATTTACCGGAACAACAATGTACAACAACCTGTGAGATATGGTTATTGAGCATACGCCCAGGATTAATTAATTTGAATTAGGAATGACGACGAGTGGTGAAGATACTTTTAATAAATCAGACGTAAGGTATACACCAATCAAAATAACATCTTCCCACGCTAAGGATATCAAAACTATTTGTTCGGTAACTTTAATAACTCTTCTGCCCTATAAATATCTAACTGTTTTAAAAACGCTTCAACACGATTCAAGCTAAAAGTATTCGTTCCAGCTACTTCATATCCTGCATTTTGTTTACGTTTAAAAAGCTCCAAGCGCACATTAGCTCGTTGATAGGAAAATATACCAGCTAGAAAATGCCAAAGAGTTGTCGCTGGCCAAAGTATATTACGAAAATACAATACAGTATATTTTAACTGAAAAGAAGTTGTTAAGAAATTCGTTTAACGCTTACATTTCAGCAATAAAACTCTACCTGCCACATAAGGAAATCACTTATACGAGATTC